GAAACAATCTGCGACAAAAGTGGGTAAGCTATTCACAATAGGGAACAACGGCTTGACCGGTGGGCGGAGTACTTCAAAAAATAGTTCAACTGGCCAGGTGCTAACCAGACTATCTCGTCTGGTGTAGTTTCGGCTCCATGGGAAGTGTCATTTGAACCTCCTACTGTAGCCGAATCTCAATCTTGCATCCAAGCGTTGAAGAAAAGAAAAGCAGCAGAACCTGACGGGCTTCCACTCTTTTCAAAATGGGGGACGGTNTGACCTCGTGGACTTCATTACTGATCTAATGCGTAACATCTGGTCACACGAGCGTATTCCCTCATCTTGGAGCGAATCACTTATTGTTCCAATTTTTAAGAAGGGATCTCGCAATGACTGCGCAAACCACCGTGGAATAAGTTCGATCCTGATCATTACCAAGTTGCTAGCCTCCATCATACTTCTAAGTCTGACACCGTTTAGGGAGATAAATATCCGCGAACAACAAGCAGGATTTCGACCAGGCCGCGGTTGTATCGATCGAATCTTCACTCTGCGTCAAGTCCTCAAACTACGTGGCACGCACTGTCGACCAACGGTTTTCCTGTTCCTCGACCTAAAAGGAGCCTTTGACTCAGTTGACCGCGACTCCCTTGTGGGTTCGCTCCCTCGCCAAGGAATGCCGCAGAAGTATGTGAACATACTGAGGTCACTACTCGCATACTTCTGGTAACGTAAGGGTATACGGCGAGCTGAGTGGGTCATTCGTAACTAGCAGCGGTGTTCGTCAAGGGTGCCCTTTTTCGCCATTCCTATTCAATTTCATCATAGACGAAATAATGGAGAACACACTAAGTGGTCTCCAAAATTTAGGTATTGAATGGGCAGCTGGAGAGAAGCTGTGCGATTTGGAATACGCTGACCACATCGTTTGCCTGTTCGAATCTATGGAGGATGCACAAAGCGCACCTGACAGATAAGCAAGTTCTGTCGTTCCGTTCGGCATGTGCTTTGCACCTTCAAAGTGCAAGTGATGCTGCAAGACTGGCTGTGGCCGAGTTCCGTTCTGAAACTAGACGGTCAGGAATTAGCTGAAAGTTGACTGCTTCTCGTACTTAGGTAGCTGCGTGACCAAGGACGGTAGCGCATCAACGGAGATAACGGCCCGCATTTCCAAGGCTCGAGCAGCGTATGCAGGACTAAAACACCTGTGGCGGCAACGTGACGTTTCACTGAAGTTGAAAAGTCGCGTATACTGAGCCACTGTACGATCAGTTCTGCTGCACGGTTGTGAAACCTTGAACTTGCGGATGGAAGACATCGTTTTTTAGCAATGTTCGACAATCGATGCTTACATAGTCTGGCTCAAGTGGGATGGAGTGAGCGGGTTAGTTACTTAGAAGTAAGTCATCGGGTGTTTGGGAATACATCGAACAAGAACTCGCTATCGCATCGAATTCACCTCAATAGGCTCCGTTGGCTAGGAAACGTTTTGCCTCTGTCCGACGGTCACCTCCCGCAGCGCGCCTTATTCGCTGTGGCTGTTACAGGCTGGAGAAGGCCACGTGGAGGTCAGTAGATGACGTGGAGACGAGGCATGAAGAAATGCACGGAGCGATTAGGTAGAGTAGGTGCCTCTCATCTTCCGGATTGAGTCCTAAAGACTCCGAAACCGCATGGTTGGAGACACTGAAGGTCATTGCTGCGAACCGACAGCAATAGTGATCATGTTGTCATTTCTTATCAGACCAGAATGCTTGAAATATTATGTATGCACAGTTGAACTGTTTACTCTGTGTTGACCGTAGGGGTTCGCTTTCTTTTCCCTTCCCTAAAAATAGGTCCAATCCCTGCCCTCCTTACACATTATCACATACTTTGTATGCAATACGAGTTTGGCAGCGGTCAGTGGAGTTGGCTTCACTGTATTACGCTGTACAATGATGATGATGATGATGATGATGACGAAGGCTTATTTGTTGGGTGGATGAGATATGTTGCCTGATCCAAGTTCAAACTGGTAGGAATAAATAAGTCATTGCGCTGAATTAGCACCAGTCAAATATCGAATGAGCTCATAGAAGTCCACCAGGAAGCATGTACCAGCACGTAATACACTCCCCATTTCGCGCCCTGGGGCCCATACTCCTTTGAAACTTCTTCTTCTTGAGAGCAGTTTACTCTCACTGCGGAGTCAACCGAACAACAGCATTACTTTGTAAGTTTTCTGAGCGTTCAGCAAGTTTTTGTTTCGGTACGTTCCGCCTAAAAATGGCAATAGACGCAAACTTTCTTCTACGATTTATAGTTTCCCAACGTGTTAATGAAATTAAACCGGGATGTAAAATTTCGGAATCTGTTTCCCTAACAGTTTATGAGTATTCTGTGATTCTCCTCTTAAAAGACGGTATTCTATTTTATATCCAGTTATTCTTCTATGCAACGAATTTGTTGATTGTTTCTTCATGATTGTTTTTCAAATGGAATTCAGGTGCCGAAGAAACAAACAAACAATAACATCGAAGAGCGCTTGTTACCACCCGAAGATAATATTTGCGGATGTCAATCAGAACTACGGAAATCTAATCCAGCATTACTAGATAAATATTACGAAACTGGTATGTCTGCGAAATGTGATGTTTTCATTTTCGTTCAAAAGCTTTAAAGGCCGTCCATGAAGGAAAAGTAGCTGTTTTACTTTTGGCTGGTGGCCAGGGTACTCGTCTTGGTGTCAGTTATCCCAAGGGCCTGTATAAGCCCAACTTGCCTTCTGGGCGTTCTTTGTATCAAATACAGGCTGAAAAAATCCAGCGCGTGGCAAATCTTGCAGCTAAGCGGTTTGGTTCTGTACCAGTGATACCATGGTAAGTCTCACAAGCATCCTTTTCTTCAAATTTTCATTAAGTCTTTTCAGTTTTTACAACCATTAACCGTGCAATTTCGTGTGCTGGTTTCGGTCGTGCGCATGTATAGTGACTCATTCCTTTTTAATTTTGCTAGTGCCCCAGCTTACTGATAGTTGTAAAATTTATAAGAAGTTTAGAGAAAAACTGAACCCACAAAGTTATGAGTAGATCCTTGGGTAACAGTTGTTGTCAAAATCCGTGTAACACTGAGACATATTTGGTGTTAGTTTTTCTATCCGTTTTTTGTTGTTGCTGTCATCATCTTGGTTCATCTTGGCTCAATCAATCAGTCAGTCAGTCAGTTGATCAGCCAATCAATCGGTCAATCAATCAATCGATCGATCAAACAATCACTAAATCGGTGAATCAAGTCATACACAATCGAGCCACACAGGATGGCTTTTGTTGAGCCAAAGATCTTAGCATCCCTGGAAGGTCATTGGGTAGAGGTCAGACAAAGTCCAGTCTCCTGATCCTCCAGGTTGGAGTTCGACTTGAGTTTGCTTCTCAGCCAGTAAAAGCTGTCGGAGGAGTATTTGATCCAAGTTGATGGGCCTCCAATCTGCCTGAACCGCTGCCTTGCGGTTAGGTTCTCAGAACTAAAGGCTATGGCTGAGAACCCTAATCGTTCTCCTGCTTAGTGGCTGGACACCCTGGCAGTACCCGTCTATAAAGCTTCAATGAACACAAACTGAGTGATTTCATACTGCATCGGTCGTCGCGCCGGATAATCGGGACCGCGCTGCCCATTGCATCGAGCGGGGTGGGTAATGATAAATGGGTTATTGCTCAGACGTCCCAGCCTTTGTTTAACTCTTTGTCTTCCGTACCTTACCCCCTCTCTTTACCCGTCCTTCCGACCCATAACATTCCCCCCAGACAACTTGTTCGTCACTCGCCAAAGGTTGTTACCAAATAGCACTGTTCGAAACCAGGAGCGGCGTTCGTCAGGGGGTGTCCTATTTCGCCTTTCCTGTTCAAATTCGTTGTAGACGAAATACGGGAGAACGCACTTAGTGGCCTCCAAATTGTTGGTACTCAATGGGCAGCTGGAGAAAATCTGTGCGATACAGAGTACGCTGATGACGTCGTTCTTCTGCCTGAATGTATAAAAGTTGCGCAAGGTGCTCTTGACAGACTTTCAAGTTCTGTAACTCCATTTGGTATGCACTTTGCACCTTCGAAGTGCAGAGTGGTGCTACAAGATTAGATGTCGTTTACCCCGGCGCTGATACTTGATGGTCAAGAATTAACTATGGTGAAATGCTTCTCCTAATTAGGGACCTGCGTGACAAATGACGGTAGCATAGTCAATGAAGTAACCGTCCGCATTTACAAGGCACGAGCAGCGTACGCAGGACTGAAACACCTATAGTACAGATGTGAGATTCACTTGAGACTGAAATGTCGTGTATACCGCATCAGTGTAGGATCAGTTTAGCTTTATGGTTGCGAGACCCCAAATTTGCGCATGGAAGATATTTGTCGTCTAGAAGTCTTTTATTGCCGATATTTACGTTGTTTGGCGCCGGTTGGATGAAACGAGCGTGTAAGTAACTCTGAGGTAATTCGTCGAGTATTTGGTTATGATTCGATGGAGAATTCGTTGTCCCATCAAATTCAGCTTAGTCGGCTTTGTGGGTTGGGCCTTGTATTGCGCATGCCCAGCTATCGTCTACCGCACCGCACCTTATTCGCAGTTTCAGCTCTAGGTTGGAAGAAACCATGTGGAGGTCAACAGATGACGTGGAGACGGGGCGTGAAGAAATGCATTGAGTCTTCCGGGTTTCTGTCCGAAATACTCCGCAGCTGTTTGGTTGGAGACACTGAAGGATATGACAGCGAACTGCCACCAGTGGCGTTCTTGTTATCATTTCTTATCAGGTCAGAATATTTGAAACGGTATGTGTGCACTGTTAGATTGTGTACTCTGTGTGCTCACCATTGAGGTTCACTTTCTTTTCCGCCCTCCATTTAGACACAATCCCTCTCCATGTTGTACGTTATCACTTAATTTATGTACATTGTGAGTTTGGTGGCAATTAGCGAAGTTCGTTTCACTGTATCTTGCTGTACGATGATGATGATAATGATGATGAGTTAATAAATCAGTTGGTCAATCAACCAGTCAATTGATATAGGGTAGTCACTTATAACAACTCGTTAATTAAGTAATTGTCTGAAAATCTATTTGATCAGTTGGCTAAATAACTGAAGAACCAACCCTTTAAGCCAATATGAAAATCGGTAAAATAAACCGTTTTCGCTAAATCTAGATAAAATTCAACCAGTGTAATAAGTATTCAGTTACTGTTGACTGAGTAATTCAATTGTTCAAATAATAGCACTTGATCATCTTATCCAGAAATGGATTTACAAAATAGTTATTTGATGCTTTCTCAAGCAAAAATCAACAGACGAATAATTTAAAACAACCAGTAAGTACTTGCCTTTAATTAATCGCCTATTTTCCGTTCTCATGCCTTTTCCCTAACACTAGGTACATTATGACCTCAGAACACACCCAAGAAACAACGATGGCCTTTTTCCAATCTCATAATTATTTTGGACACGACCCCAAGAACATCATTTTCTTCGAGCAGTTCAATCTTCCGGCATTTGATTTTGATGGCAAGATCCTCATGGCTACCAAATCAAAGATAAGCTTTTCACCAGGTAACAATAACAAGATCATTTACTTTCTGTGTCCTTTGGGATATTGCGGGATAATTATTGCTCATTCATTTCCGTTTGTGCTTCGTTTTGGTAGATGGAAACGGTGGCTTATATAGGGCCTTGCACGAACGTCACATAATAGAAGACATGAAATCACGTGGTGTGGAATATGTACAAACTTATTGTGTGGACAATATCCTGGTCAAACTGCCCGATTTGCATTTCATCGGGTTCTGCACAGATCAAGACGCGGAGTGTGGTGCTCAGGTCGTTCAGAAGATTAATCCGAAAGAGCCCATCGGTGTTCTAGGAATGGTAGATGGACGGTACCAGGTAAGTGTAGCTAATGAATCATTCCGAGATAATTAAGCTGTTTATTGTAACTTAAGCTCATTTTGTGTTTGTGCTTATCTATAATCACTTTTCCAAGAGATCATTGCATTGTAAAAATTGTATTCAAAGTTAATTCACAAAGCGCATCGTCGGTCTCATTGTAGTTCTCTTGAAGATCGCTATCCAATCAAGTGCCTATTACATCTAGCTCAGTCTAGGTTCTTTTGTATTAAAGCTACTCAGAGCCACTTGGGTCACTTTGGATTTTCTCATGAGATTGGTATCCTTCCTAAGACACCAATGATTTTTGTGTATGATATTATGTTCGTTGAAATGCATGAGAAATGCCCCAGAAATTCGTAAAATATTTCCATCGATGCATGGAAGCAAAGTAGGAACGCGAGGAAATATCTTTTCGATATATCGCTTCAGCCATTTACATATATTTACGTCAGTCAATGGATTAGTACAAAGCCTAATTTGGTGTGGAATGAGTGTGTCCAAATTGTTCAGTTGATAACAAGCTATGGGGTCGCGATACCAAAGCTTTTAGTCAAGAATGAATGAAACAGATGTGAAAGTGAGAGCGAGAAAAGCAGTCAATGAGGAAAAAGATGTCACAGGTATATAGGTCAGTCGCTTCTATGGCCGTGGTAACAGCAACGTTTGAACTAGATTACGTTGCTTACACAACTCCGCTGTGGATTCCGCAGTTGTCAGGTGCTTCCTACGTAATCTTTAACTGTTTCTTCGGTGCTGTGAAGAAACTTGCAAGCAAGGTTCCTGGGTCAATCCTGTGTCCACTGTCGACCAGATCTTGCAGGATTGAGCTGTCCAAGCTCCTCACTGTTCCTTTTCAAAGAGCTGCTGTACAACGTTCAGATATTCTCTCGGATAAACGCCTCCTTGTGTCCGATGTAGTGAGCTCTACAACTGCACGTAAACTGATACTAAGGCTGCTGACGCAACCTATCCTTAAGTTGTTACACAATAGATGGTCTAGTTTTCGATGAGATTCTTCAATGCGCCACGGGAAAACAGTTAGCAATGGCATTGATAACCGATACTCCAAGATTTCTAATACCCTATCTCTCTTGAAAAGGAACACCTTCCTTCTAGCCTTTTGTGATTTTACATCGTTTGATTTCGATTCCAGATGTCGTCGAACGAACGCCTCTGGATAGCGGTTTCTCTGAAGGTCCATTCATCATTCAGGGTTTCAGGACCACAGATTCTCTTCGCCCTGTAACCTAGACCGTTCACCAAATTCCGTTTGAGAATATTTGTACTTTCTCACCCACGTGCACAGTTTACTCTTCTTTCAATATGGTCATCCTCCATACACCGAAGTTCAACATCCAGAAAAGCGAAAAAGTTGTCTTTTCTGTCTGCAGAATGTCTCGTTTGCTTAACTGTACGAAATGCAATTTTTTTTCACTCCTGCGCCTCGACTAAACGGTACACACCAGCTTGATGCATTATGTTGGACACCAGTATATTATCCATATGGGTTCTATTTTCGATATGAAAACGAATATCAGGATGGAAAACATTCATGGTAGTGATAATGCACAATTGTAATTACCAAATCACCTGATTCTACCTGATTCACCACTCATGTGTAGTTCCGTGAGGTAAGAAAGATAACATCCAAGCGCACAGTTTGATTTGATATTCCTTCTGTTCGACCGAGACCTACTCAATTTCGCTTTGTTCTTAAGTTGTTTTACTCTCACTTGGCACATTATCGTAACTATTCTATTGTTCTTTGACATTCTATACTCTAGAGATCACTTACAACACATTACCGTTCATGATGTTTTTCTTTTTTGTTGTGCATCACTGCCATTCCTAATGGGACGAGATTCGACGAATCCATAATGGATGTACTCTCAACATTTCAGTTTTCATTCTGTTCTTTTATCCAAATGGGCAATCAAAAGGCAGCAACCAAAGCCGGCACACGAAATGCGTGGTTAATGGTTGTGAAAATTGAACTGAACCGAAACGGAAACAATGAATGAGTCGACGAACCAAAAAAATCTGATGATTTCAACTGAACACAGTAGAACATTTTTGGATGATGAAAACGCTTTTCAATTATTGAGCGCCACTGTCCAACAGTTTGGATTACGCACTGTTGTACAGTTACTGTGGATCTTTCGCATAGCTCATTTATAGATGCAAAGCTCGCCTCACCAACCCCGGGTGGTGACATTATCCCCCATAATAAGCATGACATTTGATATTTTTCGGATTTTCTTTGAGCTTTTTTAGCTTAGTAGTTAGATATGTTTTCATAGTGCTTATTACCATAGGTCTGGAAGGTGAATGTGTTTAAAATCGAGTCAGCTTACTTTGAAACCGAACCGAAGATTGATCCCCTAACTCTGGTTACCGACGGCAGTATGCGGACAATAAACGGACATCATAATTCTGAGAAGTGGTTGTGTTTAGTTAATATTTGGTCTAATGTAGCACCCAAATTATCCCATACAGATGAAAAAATGAAGTAAACGATATAGCGCACAATATTAGTCTTAGTTGCTTGCGAGCAAGCATGGTGTTAGCGTCACAACAGTAATAGCACTTACAGGGACTGGGTCGATTAGGATACAGAAGAGAGTGGAAAAGGTCAAACAGTTACAATGGATAACAGCAGATAACAGGAAGGACAACAATTTTTGTGTGTCACAGTACACTTTTTGATGTTTTGTGTGCGTTCTTGTATCGTTCTTTTCACGGTACACGAGATTTCAT